CGATGTATGGTACGGTGAACAATGCTATCGCTTGTGCCTTTCTTGTTCACAGCATACCTTTCTTTCAGAAGCTTCCGAAGCGTCGTACCGAGCACAACGTGCATCGCGTTCGGTCTCTGAGGACTTCTCAGCAATTGAAGCATTCGATACCTGCTCGACCGGTTCAGGCTCCAGTCTGACAACTTTGACTGCAACGACATCTACCCATTTGTCTAAACTCAGTCGATTGGAACTTCGGGACCTGCTTATATGCGTCGTTTATATTTTGAAACACTGTGACGATAGTGCGTTCAATGCATTCTGTATCAGAAAATTTCTTTACCCTGGTTTACAGAAATTCTCAGCATATACTGGCAGTATCTGTCGGTAGAAGAGGTATACCAGTTTATCGATTTGCTGGTTCTATGCTATGCGACGTTTAAGTACCGTGGCAAACGCAAGATTCAGACGACGGTGTCAAAAAGGTATGGAAGAACGGCTAAACTGCGTTGTTTATGTTATATGATTTATTTTGCCGTTATTCAGGATTCACTCTTTACCACTGCGCAGCGCTGATCATTCCTTTTCCTCGTCAGCGTCTGTCGAAACTGACGGGTCTTTGCGAATGCCGGAACTGCACAGAACATGCGGTGAGAATTCTTTCGCCGCCTTGCAAGAGGGCCACCTGGCGCGTGAGGTCGGCTACGTAGTGCTACAGTGCCTGAAGTATCTGTTACGCTTTTCGGTGAGAACGTTTGCGCACAATGACAGCATGTTTAACTGACCGATCATGTTTCAGCCGGTTTCCTTGCAGGACCATGCGTCTTGTATCGAGTTCGTTGAACGCGTTTGGCCACTGTTTGCACAGATGGTCGACGGATACACCGCCTGTGATCTGGTCGTTCTCGTGTTAGACTGTTTAAAGACGCTTTTTACGAAGGTAGCTTTCCGTTTACCTCCAATATTTACGGAGTTGTTCGGTGATCAGCGACCATCATGTTTTCAGCACACCATTGCTTTTTGCCTTTTTGAGCACCTTGTCCTGAGTCAGAGACATTTATCAGAAAGGTCACAGTGCTTTGTCACCACTTAGTCGACGAGCATAGAATGGTCTCATCGCCAGTTTCTTCAACGATTACGTGTCAACGTTAGCGGTTCGAATTATTCGCGATCATTTGCTTGCTGTAACAGAGCCAAAGCAAATTTGTTGCACACAGGATATCTTTCAAATACCAGACCAGTATCCATGGTTCGATTCTCGTATCGCCGGTTTTGTTTAATGTATGACTGATTAAAGCAGTAAATAGTTTTCTGATTCCATAGCTCGCGTCATGAAAGCGAAGAAACAAAATTTTCAATGAACAGAAATGTTACATTCATCGATTGGGCATCAGTGATCATTAGTACGATACAAAGCAACCCATTGATAATTAGGACTGTGGCGGAACCTAGCAAGCGAATTAGTCATCACTACAGAGCAACGTTACTGGTTGCTGTTGCAACCAGATCATCCTTTGGCAGTCAGAACGTCGATTCCTTGCGGATTAGGGTTTAATCTTCCATACAAAGTCTAACGGCCGCGTTAGCGCTTTATGAGTCAGTGCTTCTTCCATAGGTGCTGTGCGTACCTCTTCAAGGAGAACTCTTCTCATGGCGACTACGCTTCCGCTCAAGCAAGGCCTATTCGTTTCCTCACTGCAGCGTTCGTAATAAACTATATCCATTTTATGTTCAACCGTTCTCTCTGACATTATATGGAACGACTGAAACATCTTGTCGTCCTTCATCAGAGTCGAAATTTCGCCTTAAAGTAGTACTACATTAAATGATGACGTTGGGCGAGCACGTCCAGCGTTTTTAGTGAACTGAGTTTTAATTTAATGCCATTTAGATATCTCTTCGTGAATGCCTTAGTACCCAACTGGATCAGGCCCTTCTTAGTCACAAATCAGCGCAGCTCTTTGTTCAAGACTTGCTTCAGGCGTGTCTCTACCACTGCATCTAATCACAGTATATTCATAGCGGAACTTCGTTTAAAATTAGCTGTATCACATGAACATGGTCTTGTTTAAACGCACCAACTTCTACATTTTGACAAGGTAAAACATGACGAAGCGGAGCGATCGGCCTTCTGATAAGAAGTAGAGGCTTATGCTCATGCCACCTGCAGTCGGGAAGTGAAATCGCTGAGGAAACTTGCAACAACTTCAAAAAATGTTTGTTCGGCTGAAAGCCCGCTTTTCATGAGAAGAGTAGGGAAACAGACCTGGATATATGGAGAAGTTTTTTCTCCTAGTGCAGAGGAGCCAGGCAGTGAAAGTGTACTTCCAGTGTCCTAATACGCCTTCAAGGTAGTTCATCACCATCTGGTCCACGCACTGAGTTAGAGCTACAAGTGGGAGAGGAAAGATTAATTAAAGGGGTGGGAAATCAGAACGATCGATAAGACAGCCTGAAAGCGTGACTGGTGAAGAATCTCCAAGACGGGTTCCATCTGTGCCGTAATCAGGGGACTCGGCCCGTTCTTGTCCACTACGCTAACGCAGTCCCATTGGTAGATGAAAAGGAACACCTCAAAAGAAGGGCTGGGCATTTCCAGCAGCTGCTCACCGTGTGCCATCCAGATTCGTCATTTCCGACCTTTACTTCAGTGCCAACTATACAGGTTAGTAAAGATCGACCTACAAATCTTGAAATCCTAAAAGTCTTGCTACACATTGAGACGGCGGCCCTGCGAGTGGATCGAATTCGTCCGTATTAAATTAAGCATGGACGAACTGGAATGGTAGAAAAGCTGCGCCAAACTTTATCAAATGTGCATGCCAAACGTTTCCCTGGAAAATAAACGTTAGAAGTAATTGTTTCTATATTTAAAAGGGGTTCGATTTGAGTGTGCTATCGCACTACTGTCAATTGCTGCAGGAAATTTTTCTCTTCGTTTATCCTGGAATGGTTAGGTCAGGCAGCTTACAGAAGACTTCGCCCAAATCAAGCAGTCTTCTGACGAGGTGCTACTGTTCAGATCGACCTTACATTCTGTCTAGGATCATTCAGCAATGCCGACGATTGCACTTCCCTTGATTAGCGAGTTTTCTCGATTTCCAAGCTGCATTTAATTCACTACGTCTTAACAGATGGAAAATCTTAAAATGCAGTGTGATAGGTGAATACGTCGTTTCAATCTTCATCTTCCATCGCCGCTTCTGCTTTCGGGGCCCGGAGGCAGACGCATCAGGCAGAGCTTCCAACGTTCCCGATCCTGTGCCAAAGTCTGAGCTTCGGCAAAAGACAAATGGAGTCTCGAACAGACTCCTTCCATGTATTTACACCAGGTTAATCATGGCCGTCTCCTGGGCCTTCTGCCGGTAAGGAACAGTTTCTCAGCTTTCCGTTCTGAAAGCATTCGCAACACATGCCCAAGCCATCACAGCTGTGAATTCTCACTCTGGAGAAGCAAAGGCTGTATACCAAGGCTTTTCCGGATCTCGGTGTTTCGGACCATATCGAGACACGTAATGCCAGCGACTCGTTTAAGAAAGCCCATTTCAGCAACTTCTACTCGAGTTCGAATTTTTTTGGTGATGGTCCACGATTCATGACCGTAGGTAAGTATGGGGTAAAGATCGACTTAAATATCGAGAGCTTAGTTTTCAGACTGAGCTCTGCTTTAGTAACAGTTGGTCAGGCTAGTTCACCCAGAACGCCACTGGCTACTCCAATTCGCCGGTCGATCTCTTTCTCCAATTTTCCATCACTAATAAATATAGTTCCGAGGTACTTGAACTTCTCCACCTGCTCCACTGCCTCTCCGTTAATCTGAAGAAAGCAATGGGCAGGACAGCGAGACAGCACTACGCTTTTTGTTTTAGATGCGTCCACACCCATGCCGCTCACTTCGCACTCGGCTACGAACCTTTCTAGGGAGCAACGAAGGTCAGTTTCAGAAGATGCTAATAAAACAAGGTCGTCGGTAAACAACAACTTTCTCGACTTCACATCTACTAAACCGATGCCCTCATCGCCTTGGCAGCTCCTGTCCATTCTATCCATGTACAACACAAACAGGATAGGGGATAGGACGCAGCTTTGGC